CTTTGTGATAAAATCCGGTTGTTTGATTCGATTTTTTCTTTCGTAATTCAAAACCGCGTGGTTTTTGATGTAGCCTGTTTTGATAACTTTTTGAAACTCGTGAGGCTATGTTAAATGTCATTGGTGGCATGCGTTACAGTGCATGGACATGCTTCAGTCTATTATCTTTACTCTCTATTTTGAACCCTCAAATTAAAAATTCCGCTTAAGTGATTAGTATTTAGTCCAAAAAATCGCGTTTAACTCGCTTTCAAAGCCATAGAACCCAGCTTTTCGTCAGGTTTGTATTCTGGGATTGTGGAAAAGCTGCAGCAGAGAATCACCAAGAGTTGGGTCTACCGCTTTCAGGAACGTCCTCTATTCTTGATATTGAGAAATTATGTGTTACTGTTGGTTAAAATAAACCAAAAATCACACATCCAGAACGACTTTGGAAAACGTTTAAAGCGATCTGTGAATCGATTCGTTGATATCGGCGAGGGAAGGTTGTAGAGGTTATTAAGCAAGTAGCCATACATTAACTGATAACACAAACTAGCTTGTGATGAGACATAATTTTTGTGTTTTTAAACGTTCTTTTGCATTGACCGTCCCTATCTGATTTATCACACACCCCATCACTCATCACTCCACCATTAGGAGATTGAGCTTGCGTTGGGCGTGTGTGTGTGTGCGGTGGATCGTGAACGCAACCGTTCACTTATCGAAAGCCAAAAAGCAATTTCAGCTGAGACCCATCTACTTGCATCGATACAGTCCAGCACAATCCAGGGGTATGCTAGGAAACTTGTTCCTGAGAAAAATTTGGTACTAGTCATTAGGTCGTAAGAAATTCTGAATCTTTTTCTTACACAGGAATGCAGGCATGATCACATACTTGATAATGCCACAAAACTTACCACACTCTAGGATAAGATGGAGAGAGAGAGAGAGAAATACTACCTTATCCTCACCTTTTTTTCTACTTCCCCAAGTGATGGTTACCACTTTTATCAGCTTCAGGCAATTACATACAGGTGAGAAATAAAAGGTAAACAGGAACCCGGTTGAACTCTTCTTGGCTTCCAGGGACAAAGTGCGTGGGACACATCGTTGACACATCACATGAGAGGGGGGAGTGGTGGTGGAAGAAACTAAACAAATGGATTCCACATGCCGTGGCATGCATTAACAAATGACACAGACAGTAAAGTATGACCGGGCCATTGTTGAACTGTCTCCTAACTTGACAAGTGACGTCCGTGTTTCAATGTTAAGCGAACAAATATATTACTGGTTACGCCCAAGCGATTAATGCACCGCCCCACTCCACACTTCTAAGGCATGCACCACTTAATTCCCAGAAGACAATGCTTGCTTTGTGCGTGCGTGTTTGGTGGACTGCGGATGTAATCGTCGCCTTGCTGAAGACCAAACAATTATGGTTGGAATCTAGTCGATTCGATATTACTTGGTACAACTTAAGGGTGTGCAAGGGTCGGGAGAGAGTTCTATTTTTATCCTCATATGACAATGCTACCAGAGACCTCATAACACAGAAGGACTCAACTGTAAGTAGCGGAAGGAGGTGGTGGGGAAGACTGCCTCATCCCCGTCACAATCACGTGCGAAAGGGAATGGAGGGATGGGAAATCAAAGTGGGATTGGAAGGGATGCTTCCGGCTTTTCGTCTAGGCAGGTTGATGTCCCGTTAGACATAGAGATTGTAATGGCACTTGCTTGAACGAATAAAGTATTTCAAGGAGCTTCCTTTAGTAATTTCCTTTTATAAACTGCCACACAAACATTCAACCACTACATTGTTTTAGCTGGGCTCATTTTTAATAATCATGAACAAATGCTTTTAAAAGGAACATGAGAAACGTCACTGATTAGTACTGGGCTTAGGTATAAATGGTAGCCTTTAAACTAACAATTTATTCTCTTCCAAGAATTCAAATCCAACCTTGAATTTACCACCGCAACGGTTTACTGCATAAGGGCTTTCAAAGCGACTGCTGTTTCGTTTCATTTCACAGTTGAACAACTCGGTGGACGAGTTAACGTCGTTGACGCTGAGACGAATGCTGTTGGAGAGCTGGACCTCAATTTCGACGGTTTCCGTCTCACCTTTGGTGGAGAATCGGTAAGGGGACCACCTCGTCTCCTCCTCTCGCTCCCGTTCCCTTTTTGCACTATTTTCAAATCCAATTTCACATTCCTTTAGCAACTCATTCCCTTCGACCGAATCAAAAGCTGTAGCTCAAAAATGGAGGACACTTTCTCCTTTGTCATTAATGGTATGTGGAATTCTTACCACTTAAATCTTGTGAACGTGACGATTTAGTCTAATTATGGCACTTCTTTGGGATTTACACAGTTGATGACCACAACGACGTCGTACGAAACCTCAAAACAGATCTGGTACGTTACACCACCGCTGCTCCCCTATTTACGTGTGCGCATGTGGGATTGGCAAATCATTCCTCGGGAGTGATAATTATTTTAATTTTTCGTCAAGGTAGTGATCATGTAGATGGATCGCACATGACTTCACACACTTTGTGGCGAGAAGGTGGACGACAGTACTGCAGAGCTGGTCCATGAGGATGGAGAATAGATCCAATAGACTATTACCATTTCCGAGTTGGTCCTGAAGAGCTCCTGGGGTAGGCGAACGGAGAACTAGATCCATTATAAACACGTGAAATGAATAAGAGAGCATCAGCTCAGATTTCATGAGCAGAGCCCAAAGCTACCGACACATAGACCGATTTACGGAAGGCAAGAAAAAATCACCCTGTAAGAAGCAATACCATCCCTCCATGGTAAAATGGGTTGGAACGTCTGAGTGAACTTGTTTCCCCTCACTTCGTCAGACAGGACTTTTAATTCCAAAAACAGCCAATTCACGATGCTACAGTCCTTTCAAATCGACTCATGACTTTGTCCTATGTCGCAGACTAAATTAGGGAAGTATTGAAAAGGATGATTTTAATTGTATCAATTGTTTATTTTTTTTCAAGGCCGCCATATTGCTGAACCAATGGCAGCGTCTGATCGCCGTGAAGACTGCCAAGTCACCCAAACTTGGGAGCGGTGTCACAACGCCCATGCTCTCCCCATCCAGGACGTCTTCCAGCAACAATATTAATGATTTCGGCCGATAGACGCGAGCACCTACCGTTCTTCCGTCCTCAACCGGTACGAGGCATCCCTTCACTTCCTTCCCCTCTCCCATCTCTGCGATCTGTGATAAATGATGCATTCATCCTCGCGAGGGGAAAAGTCAATCTCTCTCTGCCTTCCCTCCCACTCCTATTCTTTCCCCGTTTTCGTAATTTCTTACACGTTTGTCTGCCTTACTTTCGGTTGATGTACACGTATATTAATACCACCATTATTACGCATTCACAGTCATGCAGATATGTATCCGCTGTAGTAATCCATATCGGTGAGTGATATTGCAAGTGAAATATACCATGTAAACTAAATAGCAAGACGTCAACTAGGGATTTAGAAGAATAAAACTTGACTCGTGACGAACATTAAGGAATATTTATTGGCAGTATAAGTTAAATTAAAATAGTGAATCAGGTTTGGTGAATCAAACCTGCCTCGGAGACTCCAACACAGAGAACATTGACCGATGTACGTGACTTTTGCTGCGTGAGGCGTAAAATGGGCAAGGCAATACATAAAAAATGCATGACCTGAGCGCAAAAGTTCCACAATAGCTTATATAAGAAATGGCTGCGATAAAAGTCGATTATGGTAAGAAAAAAGGAATATATTGCAGGATTAGGTCCATCGTTGACGACAAACAGACCCATCAAACAATTTTTAGCACGACGAAAACAGTCCGAGAGGGGGGCTCTTCAGTGCACTGTTCTCTAAAATGAGGAATAATTGTAGTGGTAAGTGGGTGGTTACTGAAGCTTAATTACCGAACTCTTACAAGAAACGGCCGACGCAGGCTAAATTTATATGAATAGCCTCATTAGTTAGATTACATCGACTCAAAGGGACCGTTAAACAATGGGTTGGAAGACTGCGTTTTTGTACAAGCGTTAACTAAATCGACAACTTGTGTAGATAATTATTCTTGATTCAATGAAGAGAGAAGTTAAATAAAAACGTGGACTTCACCCACAGACAATTTCCAATGAAAATATTTTGAAGAATACGATATAGATTGGAAGTGAAAGTACGTACTTTTAAAGAGTTATTTATAATTCCTCATGCGTTGTGTTATAGAATGACTTGGGTTGTTCAGAAGGTTGTATGAAAACACCTTCAGCTACTTTCCATGAACTTCCATAAGCTGAATTTGAGGAAGAAATCTCGAACTGACCAGGAATTGGATGGCTGTAAGTGCTGCCACTTACATACAAGTATCTGGAGTAGAGAGAGAATAAGCAAGAATGAATTAACAAACCCCGATGTTGATAGATGACGAAGCTTGATCAACGTTTCTCTTGTCCAATTATTGTCGCTGCAAATAACCATCCAATTGTCGCCTAAAATTAAAGAATAGTGACATGGAGGGATGGGCTTTAACTAGGTAAAATTATGCTAAGCTTACCCTCATCACCGACTCCATTCTTACCAAAAGCTGAAACTTCGTAATTATGAGAGAGAGGAGACTGAAAATGATGGCTGTGTAGATTTTTCCCAGATGCTGAATGAGTAAGGCGAATTATCTTCCCACATTTAACTGGTTCACCTCTGCAGAAGTAATCGTTTTTGTCTTCATTTTTTATCTACAGGGAAACCAACGCATAGGTAGAAAAAGTCTTAAAAATTAGAGGCTCAACGAAAGGAGTCTTAAAGCCGTTAAGGAAAATTGAGCCTGAGTTCTTACGAGATGTAGTTAAACTAAAGTGAAAAACATCTTACGTCTGTTTACCGAAAACACAAAATAGCATATAGCAGAGTACTTCACGTAGCTATGATGGAGGCTAGCAGAAAAGCCGAGGACAAGTTACAACTAATAAAGCATGTAACAAGGGGCTGAAAAAACTTTACCTGCCAATAACTTCCACCATCCGTGATATCCTTTATGCCCGTGACAGACTGCTGCTTACTTCCAGATCCGTAGCTGACATCATGTGAGTGCAGCCTCACACCATAATCGGTATTCACTAGTTTTACAAGGGAGCCACAAGTTACAAGGATATTTTCTAGAACTTAGAAATTCTAAGGAATGTCCAATTACCTTTGGCGCTAACACAAAGAAGACTGAGAATTAAGGAGACAACAAGCAGCAAAGGATTGTGCATATTCTTGAAAAGACCAGATCTACGTGTGCTAATATAAACAAGCGTTCGTCTTAAAATAAAATAACTTTAAAAAGTTAAAACAATAATGGCTGTAAATAGGCAAAAGTACACTTTTAATAGTTTTGTACCACCTAATGTTGCTAAGATGTTTGAATAACTTAGGAATAATTGAGAACTCCACGCCACTACGCATCCAAACGTAGTAATTCGACACTTTGTTTGCGTATATATTTTAATAAATTCCAAACTTCTATTTATGCAGATTGTATTTCTTTTTTT